ACCCTGCCACCTGCTGTGGCCTGTCATGGCTGGGGCACAGAGGGGAGAGATGCTTAGCAGCTGGTTGCAGATGGCTGAGGAGGCACTGCTTCAGAATATCCATGCAGGAGCTTAGAGGAGGAACCTCAATTGGCTAAGCTCCAATTTTTCTGTACTAATCCAGCTCAAGCTCTTCATCCGCAAACATGCCTTAGTTAGCAGTCCTCCCCATTAGATCTTTAAAAAATACAGAAATGTAGGCAGGGTGGATGAGCCCTCTTATTTGCCTAGAGGTCTGCGGTATCTGATATAGGATCTAGGCCTCCAAATCCAAAAGTGGACTCCACTGTGCTTGCAGAAATCTTCAGGTCTGGCCCCTGGGCATCCCCTTCCCCCCTCCCTTTCCAAAGATCACTGCTGATTAGTGAATAGAACAACACACTCAACGTGTGTCACCAATATATAACTGTACAATGTTGCTGGCATTTATTCAGTCACTGGCCAGCTGTGGCAGGGACCTTTTTGTTCACTTGGAAAAGGACCAAGATGTCATTCATGGCTTTCCTGATATTAAACCCAAACTGGTGTGCATCCTGTAGGAAAGAGGAAGAAAGATTATTTTAGCCTAATGTACTATGCTGTGCAAAGTGCACACACAGCCTCAGGATATGTATGAAAGCAAGACAGGAAATCAAGAGGGTTGAGTGTCTAAGATAAAAAGGAAGCATCAAATTGCACACTTCTTCATTTCACATTAGCCAAGAGATGCACTGGAGATGTTAATTTGTGACACTCAGCCAACAAGCCTCTCTTCCAGCAAAGTATGCAGTTGGCTACCTTCACATTAGTTTTTAGCACGTACCATTTCCACAAGCAAACTAATTCTGCTTCCACAAAACTGCTCTTTTATCTGCATACAGGTAATCCTTGCTTAATGACTGCCCTGTTTAGCGACCATTTGAAGTTACAATGCCACTGAAAAAGTAATCTTATGAGCAGTCCTCACACTTACTACTGTTGCAGCATCCCTGCAGTCATGTAATCAAGATTTGGGCACTTCACAACCGGCGGGCATTTACGACCATCGCAGTGTCCTGCAGTCACGATTGCCATTTGTGTGCTTCATGGCCAGCTTCCAACAAGAGTCAAGGGAGAAGCCAGCAGTAAAATTGCACATCATGGTCACATGATGTCTCACTTTATGACCTTGGGTGAATCACTTAACTAATGCGGTGAAAATGATGTCATAAATCTGGCGCAGTCACATGATTTTTCGCTTACTGCTATGTCAGTGAGGAAGTTGCCAGTCCCAATTGTGGACATTAAGCGAGGACTACCTGTACAGCAATCTCCCTGTCTTGGTGCCTCCAAATTGTTGGATCTCTACTGCCAGTTAGGAAAAGAATGATGAGAGCTGAAGGCCCTTCTGAACGGTACGATGTTGGAAAAGCCTGATATAAAAGTCTGACTACTCATAATGTAATAACTGTACAATTAATCCGGTTATTAAATTAAATCATTTTCTGTATTCATAATGTATGTCAAACCATAAATTATTCAAACAAACTAGATATTCACAATACAATAAGCCACAAAGACTGTGACCAAGATTAACATTAATCAAAGTTAATTTGTTGTACAAATGTATCTAACAGATTTTTAACTAATATAGTTAAATGTATGGTATGAATGCAACTATATTTTGAATAGCTTGGTCACTGGTTTTAAGGGAATAAGCAGAACTGAATGTTCAGAGGACTCTACCATGTGATAATGAGTGGGGAGGACATACCACATGCAAATCATTGTGGGGGTGGCAAATGCTTTCATATCCTAACAATGGAACTGGGAAGGGGGACAATGTACCATGTGCTGGTCATTCAGAAGGTGTACCACACGTGACGTCCACTCTCTCATCGGCACCAAATCAGGGGAAGTCTTGTAGAGGTGTCAACAGGCAGAGGGCAGCACTCTGCTTCACACTGTCCATGGTATCACTGAGGTGTAATACGGACAAACAAGTGGGTCAGATAGTTGATATCTTAGGGGAGGAATGACAATGCCTTCCTAATGGAAGGTTTTAGGTTCAGTCTTTGACATCACCAGATAAAAGGATCAGGCAGCTGATAATGGAAAAAATACTTTGTCGCTTGAGGTATTGGAAAGCACCTTGTAATTTTCCCCAATTTGAAGTAGGAGCAATTGAGACCCTTCAGATGTTGCTGAACCACAATTCTGAGAAGCTTCAATTTTGAGACACTTGGAGTTGTATTGTCTCCAATTGTTACTGAACATTGCTAACACCTGCACAAACTTAAGCCTTTTGGATATATTGGGGCTACAATTCTTGGAATTCTCACTGTTCCTTTTGGCTGGAAATTCTGGGGGTTTTAGTTTCAATGAAATTAGGGCGTCTAGGATGGGGTCAAAATGGTGTAAGTAATGCCATGCAGGTGAATAAAATAATTTCTGTTACAAATGAACTTCTGATGCTCCTAAATACCATAATAAAAACTACCCATCTTACCCCGCATAGTAAATCTTTCCTACATTGACTCTGCCTTACCCAGTTGCTCTCTTGATCTAATTTTATATTCCCCTTGGTGATTCTCCAATAATTCCTTGTACATTAACCATTTTTCTTTGCCTGTTGTTTCTCCTGTGTAAAATGCTCCTTGTGCTGAGATCCATAAAGGTGTTTTCAGGTACAGCCTGGGTTGATATCTATTCCATATATAATTTTAGTAAATAAAATTTTAAGAACATAAAAGCAATATATCATCACAGTAGCAGATGTTATCACATGCATGTCATCATTTTGACATCACTGTGGTTTGTTATAGTCAGCACCACCTAGAATCAGATACTTTCCACTTCATTTCATTGTCTCGGCTGGAACAGGTTAGCTTTTCAGCATTTCAACCTTGAGTCCAGGGCCATTCTTCATCTACTGCCCACAGGCCTGCTACAAACAGTTCCTTTCTATGAAGCATCAATGACATGTATTAGAGAAGATAGATGACAGTAGCCAAACCAACCTGAAAAGTGCTAGAGAGGAGCCTGGTTGTCAAGGGAGAGAGAGAACAAAAACAAGAGACAGTGAGTAAACTGGGCTGAGTCACTGATGGAGTTGCTGCAGGGATGTGTGGTGAGACAAAGCTGGCTTATGCTGCAGAATAGCGAAAGGGAGAAGGGGAGAAGGAGCAAGGAAACAGTGCAAGAACTCACCCTTAAATTTGGACCGGATATTGGCCAGCTCCTTGTTAATTCGTTTAATTTCAGCCTCTTTACTCTTACCTGGAAATGACAAGCAAGGAATGAAACACGGGCAATACTCAACCTCCATACACAATCCTCGGGGTGCCTGCTTGGTGCTGAATGCTTAACTATTAACTATTATTTTGTGAGACAAGGAAAGGGGTCAGATAAATGCCAACGGATGATGACAAACCACCACATATGCTTCATGAATAAAACAGCATGAAAAAGCAAAACCTTCCCCAGCCTATTGTCTCTGAGTGAGTTGGACTCTAATTCCAGAATTCCCAGCCAGATGCAATTCCCACATATCTGGAAGTACCATCTCGGGGACGGCTGCCATATACCTAAAGCATAGGAACAACAGGCCATTCCCTGCTTCTCTCAGTGATACCTCTCAGGACCAAACTATACAAAAAGTAAATCAGACTGGAGCTCCCAACTTTTCTTCTTAACTTAAAAGCAATTGGGGGACTCTGATTTTTGATCAGAGCAGGAGGAGGCAAAGTCTGCACTGCTATATTGTTTTTCTGCAATCAAAATGCGTTCTTCCCAAGCTGCTGCTCGATGGAAGCTGCTGAAAGGTATTTGGATGGAGTGAATAGTATAGTTTGCTTTTGGTACCAATTCAAGTGGTACCAATTTGGTACCAGTTCATTGCTGGTGTTTCTTTATACAAGTATTAAGAGATTAGGCCCACAGTGTGTGAAGGAATCTCTTCCCATATGTTCCAGCTCATCTACTACGATCATCCTCAAAGGCTCTGCTCCAGAGCCCTTCCATGCTGATCTGCAATTAGTAGATGCCCACTGCAGTGAGTTCTGTTGCCCCTGGCTATGGATGGCTCCCAAGTAAGTCAGGCCTGGTACCTACTATCCTTATGGCACAAAGCAAAGATGCTTTTATTCTTTTTCATATATTTGAATTCATGATTACACTAATATCTGAAATGTTATACCGTGAGGTTTTTTTAACCAGTCTTTATCTGCTGTCCATACTGTTTTGTTTTTATGTGGTACATTTTTAATCACTGTCTTTGTTTTCATAGTAATATTCATCATTTTTAGAGTGTGGCAAGCTACTCCAGGAAAACTCTCAGCTAGAAGTGAGGCACATAAGCATTTGAAATAAATAAATAAATAAATAGCATGCAGGGAAAAGTCTTCATGTATACACATTGCTAGGGGCTGCTTTTCAATTAAAATCAAAGTCTTCCAGTTGCAGATCTTCTAAAACAGACATCAGCCCAACAGAAGCAATGGGTAGTGCACCCCTTCTCAGACGGCTGCAACAACCACTGAGTCTTATACCAAAACTGCCAAGAGAGAGTAAACAGATCTACGTTTAGTGGACCTGGAGAGTAAATGCTCCCAGGAGGCTAAGGGAACATTTGCCCTAACAGGCAGAAGGTGATCCACAAGTAAGTCAGCTGAGCAGGATGAGGGCTGAAACAAATAGATTTGTATGCATAAATGTTCCTAGGATGGAGCTGCTTTGTATATGGGGCACGCTGGCTGCCCTTTTGGTGGGACATGGAGAAAAGAGTGATTCCTTGCCCAGGACTTAAACACATTAATCGGGAGTAAGAAAGATGACTTTATAGAAAGGGAAAGAAAGTTAGCCACTTCATTCAGAGAAATCGACTGCAAGGGGCCATATCTGAAATCCGCTATTGAGTCAAAAAGTAATAAACCCAGATGTCAGCAGAGACTGGTAACAATTCCTTTTCTTTTTTTATTTGCAAATTTCATCAGTAATAGACTACAAAGTCCTTTGGGGGGTTTTTTCATGAATGTATAAGAAAATTAAACTGGTAAATTCACCAATGGAAGTAAAGGGCTTTGAGCCCTTTGCTTTAAAAAGTCCAGCAATGTCTTTTGTGCTGAATTAGGGTTGCCACCTCTTCCCCCTCCATCTCTTCTATCAGGTTCCCTTATTTAACACTATGCAACCAACAGGTACAACACGATCCTTTTAACAGTGGGAAAGCTGTGCCTAAAATATCTGAAGGATGCAGATGGAAGAGAATATCATTTGATTTGAGAAGATGTTATGTCCCAAATTTCTTCAAGAGAGAAAAATAATCATTTAAAAAACAAAAATAAAAGAAGAAAGCAGATCCATCCATCTAAGTGTGAAACAGCATACTAGTACGCTTAACTTGTTCATTTCTCTCTCCATGAAAGCAGGAAAACCAATCCAAAAAAGGTTAGCTCCTTGGGCATCTAGTCCTAGAATTAGGCCCTAATATGCCCATTCAAACTAGGATCGTAAACTATCTTTAAACCATAGTTTAATAATGATTTACTCCCTCACACAAAGAGTAATGAGATGTATGTACTAGGTTGCAGTTTATTCCCATCGTTGTTTATCAAGCCCTCATCTTGTGATTACAGAGTTGCCTGCAAGGTAGGGGCTATTATTTATGCCATACCATGGAAGCGATCCTCTCAAGGATATTGTATTTCTTTATGCTTATTTTCTGGAGTACATATTCCAATAGATAAAAGAAGGATGACAAAAGAGAGGCATCAGATCCAAAAATATATACTTCCTTCTTCGACCTGCCAAAAGCAAAATGATCCAAACAAACACTACTTCCATTCCCTGTGCTTAGGCAGGAAAATCAGCCTCTAAAAGAGAAAACTGTGTTTCCTCAAACATTTTCTTTCTTTCCTTCCTTCCTTCCTGGGGTGTTCTAACAAAAATCACACTTACAGAAGTAAACTTCCTTAGACTGATCTCTCCTTTTGTCCCAATAGCACCCTGTTGAGGGAATGTGAGGCCTGCCAACTTTCCTTTGCTTAAGAATTACAGTTCCTTAAGAACAGGCAATGTAAGAGCTCTTTGTTCACCTCTCTGGGTAGACGCCACTATATTCAGAAGTGGGGAAATTCCACTTCCAGAACATGTTGGATTACAATTCCCATAATCCTGGACCACTGCCTTATGGTCAGGCTTATCTGAGTCAGAATTCAGCAATATCTAGAAAGCAATAGATTCCCCCTTTAAATGAATATCAAAGAATGTATGAATGCATGTACAGTATAAAGAAATCCACGACACAGGAATGACTGGCCAGCAGATCTGTGAAATGTGTTTATTTATCATATCCTGCTCTTCCTACAGGAAGTTCACAGCAGTTTTCAAGGGCCTGAGTTTCACCACAGCTATGGGTGAATTGTAAACCCAGTTTGAAATTTGAGATTCCTTAGGTATGTGGCCATCAGATCCCACACAATTATGTTGGAAGACCTCCTATATCTCTCCCCCCGAAAAAAGTGTGTGAAGTAAAATTAAGGTGCAGCCTTCTCTCTAGCTTTTTGAGCTCTTCCCATATATTTCTCAATGCTTCTCTGACTTCCTATTACTTCATTTACTGTTGCCAGAGAAAGCCTCCACCAATCTGATCTGTTGCTCCATTGATATTTCACTCCCACAAATCCCAGCACCCAGTTTGGTCAGTTCAGTGACTCAAGGATCTTCCATCCCACCCTAAAATATGAACCCTGAAGCCTTGGGAAACATATGTCTGACTTCTACTGAATGATTATATCTCCTACTCTTACAACAGCAAAAAAGATCAGGTCTTGTTCATTCACCAATCTCACTTGCACTCAAGAGAGATTGGATAATATGTCTTTATAAACAATGTATTTTTAGGAAACTAGAATGGGCACTTAACAAGAAGGACATGGCTTCTTCATTCTTAATTGCTGCTCTCACAAAGAAATGTTGGCAGCAGGAGCTTTTGTTATCTATGCATGACAAGCTGCAACTAACAAAATGCCATCTTGCACACAGCTGTTAAAGCCACAGGACCTTCTTTTCCAACTTGGCTGTTTTAGGACAACGCCCCTCTCTGGAAGTGTATCACAATCCTTTCCCAGATTTTTCTCTGAAGCAAAGCTGACATCTCTAACCAGATATAAATGATATGCAAGGGAGCATACCTATATAAAGCAATTTAAAAACAACCAAATTGAATGTTCTACTTCCGTAAGAACAGAAGAAACTATACTAAGTCAGATTACGAAGCAACCTTGCTCTGTAATGCTTTTTCAGACAAAAGATCTTACCCATCACTTTTAACCTCAGGGATGAACAACTTGGTGCCCCTCAAAATCTTTTACACAACAACTCCCATAATTCCTGGCTGGGACTAATGGGAGTTATTACCTAAAAATTAGAGAGCACTAGATTGTCTACTCCTGTTTCACCTGATCCTTTCAAATGAAGACTCCATGGGGTAAAATCTGGAACTTTTTGCATGCAAAGAATGTGTACTACCATCTTCATGGAGTTACAGTCTCTTCCCATAATATTTTCAGAGGTGTTAAGGCTAGCTGCTGTGCCATTCAGGCCAAGTATCCCTCACATGGAAAGCCTTTGCCTCCAATCAAATTGGCCTACATGCTCTCTGCTGCTGCTCAGCCAATTCACATGAACTTTAGCTACAGGATGACTTTTCCCTGAAATTTCAATATACCAAAGTTGTTGCAACATAATTACAACTTCCTGGTCAAATCAGCTTTTAATATGGTTTCCAGAATAGTGGAGCTATCATTCTTATATGTAGACTTTTTCTCTGAACTGCAGGGATATTTCAGAGGAGGAAAATCAGCCATTCACACCCTAAAAAACATTGACTGAGCCCTGCTGACTCAACTCCATAGAAAGCCGTTCTAGCAACTGCTACTTAGCTTTCCCGCATGTATTATTCTTGCAAAATTCACATTGCAAAACACTTTTTCTTTCGCTGGAAAAAGGAAGGGTGGGGGCAAAGATTAGGGTTCCTGAGAAGGAACTGGGGAAAAAAGACTGAATCAAACAAACACAATATTAGTATTCAGCCACAATGAAACAACCATACCAAAGTCTAAACAGAAGAACCTGGTTCTGACTTAAAATCTTTGGGATTTCAAATATGCTGTTAACACCCTTGGTCTCCTGATCATTAGAGCTTTCTTCATGACTGAAGAAGCAGATCTGAAAAATGAGAGGACTCTAATACATGCCATCAAAGACAATGATTGGATATTTTTTAACCATCACTTATTGCAGGGATCCAAAAATACATTCTTCGGCCATATCAATCAGGCTCTATTTGACTCCTGCAGATTCTAGGTGATATTAATGGGACATGAATGCCATAGAGAACCTGACCCTTTACAGTGATTAGAAGCCTTCCATAGCTTAATTTGTTTTCCACCGGACAATCTGAATTCCTCAACCTTTCTTGCTCTTTTTACGCAGGTTCTAAACAGCAATCCCTTATTTTGCAGCAACATCCCTGTAATAAGGCTTATATCTGGGCTGCAAAAATCCAGATGACTACCAGCTGTACAGAAAAGTAAATCCATGGCGTTTTGCAGCCAAATATAGTAAGCCTACACTTCAGGCCTTCTGCAAAGGTCCAAGAGCCCTTTCCTAAGCCTTCACACACTGATTCCCAAACACAGGACCATGTGCCCCGAAATTTACAAAAGCCTGCCCTAACCTACGGCAGTGAGCAAGCGTATGTATGTGGAGTCCCCGGGGTTCTCTGAGTATGTATCCATCCCTCAGGTCACAGCTCTCTACGTCCAGCTCATCTGCAGTCCCTTTGGAAGTCTTTATATTTGGGGACGTCAGGAAGGAGGAGGAATGGAATCTCGCCCCTGAGCAAAATTCAGAACCCCTTTCCTATCCTCCATCCCTCCGGTTTCTCTTCATTGGCCACGATCCCCAACTTCCACCGCTCTAAACAACTTTGCGCTTCTCTCCCCGACCGTCCTCCTTAGTTAAACAGTAAAGATTTCCGGGTGAAGCAAAACGGGCACACGCAGAGACGAACCGCAGGCTCCACGTTCACGTGGGGACGCCTCCAATGGACCCAACATCCCCACACCCGCTGCCCTCTTCAGCCCAACACTATCCACCTCCCATGACTGGCAGGCCTCTGCCCACCCCAGCGACGACCACCTTCCACACCGCAGAGCCCGGCGGGCATGTCTGCTGGCTGGCAGCCTCGCCCTTTACCCTGCCATTAAGTCGCCTCCTCCCAGCCTACCTGCTTTCCTTTTTCCATTTCCCGAAGACCAGCTAACAGACAAACCGGCTGCAGGCGCCTCTCCCCGAGGCTCAAGTCTTTTGCTTTCAGCAGACGAGCCCCCCACTCCACCCACCACCGCCGCCTCCCCGCACAATTGTGGGCCGCTTCCACCCTTCCATGCAGGAACCCCGGCCGAATCCTCCCCTCGGTCCAATCCCCCACTGTACCCCCGCGCATACAAGACCCCCTCCGTTCTGACGGATCCCCCCCTGCCCGCCAGTCTTCCCCATAGCCGCAATCACTTACAATTTCGGATATCGGAGATAAATACGGCCAGGCCCCGCATCCCGTCTCCCTTGGAAACGGCCGGCATGGTGACGTTAGCGGATCGGGACCACGGCGATGCTCCGTTCCGCGCCCGAACCTGGCCCAGCTGCACCGAACCGACCTAAACGTATCCGATTGGTCCCTCGTTCCGTCCGTCACAAAACGTTTTCACGCTTTATTGGGCAGACATGCCGCTTTTCAAATCGGCGATGATTTCTATTGACTGAAATAAGCCAGACGTTTACGTGATTGGTCAATAGGTTTAAATCCCGCCTGCTCTTCTCCCTATTGGATCCGGTGAATCTTAATGTCAAATAAGTCCCCTACTGCTCTGCATTTTCCATTGGGCAGAGGTTCACAGAGGCCCGCCTCAGCCTGTCCCCAACTTCTTGATAGACCTTAAGAAATGTCATTCAAAGCCTGCCCCGCCCAAATCCGCTTCGGCGTGAGTGATGCTTCTTGCGAAATCAGCAAGCTGAACCTCCGCCCACTGCTGGGCGGGGAACAGTTCTTGAAAGCTGTTATTGGGCGAAAAGGCCACGTCCTTCAAGCCCAAGTCCATGGTTTATTGGCTGAATAAGCTGACGGTAGAACGGCGGCAAAAGGAAGCCTGGGGAGAAGAGGCTCGGAGGCCGAGCTGTTTTTCCGGAAAAGAGCGACGGGATCGTCATCACGTTTGAGCCAATCGGCTTGGAGAGTAGAAGGTACGGAGAGCGAGAGCCGTGGGGCGATTTCTGCCTTCTA